GGGCTGGTTCATTCCTTTGAAGTAGCTCTTGCCGCGCCAATCCTCCGATTTTCTCTAGTGACGTCACTTTGGCGCAAAGCTCGCACTTTTACTTCAAGAACGGAGCGTTTGGCCTTACTAGCTCTAACTAATATTGGATCATTTCTTTTTGCGAGATATTCTAAGACATTTGTTATTTTCTATAATGACTTTCCTCAGTTTTTGCAGTGAATTTACAAGAATTTAAAACTATTATCGAAATGCCAGTTTGCGCGATTGCAACTTGCAAAAATTCTGATATAAAAACAAAAGGAAAAAGTATAATTTTTCGCGTGTTCCCTAAAGTAAATGAACAACTATGTAAAGAATGGATTCCGAAATGACACAGTTAATATAAAACAGCAATACGTTTATTCTGTCGTAAAGAACTTTTATAAAAATTCATTATCTAAATAGAAACCGCCTCGTTACTTCATAAAGAAAGGCAGGTGAAAAGAATTAAAAAATAGATAAAGTCAAAGAAAATTAAAATGTAAGTAAAAAGTATAAATAAAATATATAGTATATAGTTGAAATTCTCCTAATTTCATAACATATTTTTTAATGTAGTTATTCTAAATATTTATGATTTTTTTTAAAAATTATATTCTCTTCAATTTAAATATCTATAAATTATATCATCGTAAATTTAAATGTCTATAAACAATTGTAAAATTTCTAATGTCATTATGAACCTAAATTATTATTTTGTTTCAGTAATTAGCGTTTAAGGTTGATGTTTCCTAATGATTAAGTATGAACAAATTGCTATTAACGGCATATTTTAAAATCAGGGATTCTAAATTTAACTCAACTTATTGTTATAAAAGAATATGTAGATAAAAAAAGTGTCGATATATGCTTTCATTTTTCTTAATAATTAAAGTTAAAACTGAACTTTTTAAAATAAAGTATTTATAGTGTCATTTTCGCCAACTAGTAAAACATTTTTATAAGTTTAAAATGGTATTTTTTTTAATATAATGGCCAAGAAAGTTTTTTTGAACTATGTTTATGAACGGAAATAATGTGTTAATTACGTAAAGTTTGAAAGCTAATAACCAGAAAAAGTCTAACTTATTTTTACAAACAGAAAGATGCAAAGTTATCATAATATCTTTGCTTGCGATCTCCGAGATCTGTGGACACAGGACGTCATGAGGAGGGAAATCGTAGCTTCAGCTCTAAGAGCGGAGTGAACTAGTCCTTCTATTCTCTTTTGCCCTGGTTTACTCCAGCTCAAGTTTATTTTAGTTGTCATGATTCGAGCACAATACTAATGATGAAAGGTTTTTAGCAAATCATTAGCATGGCAACACAGTTCTTTATTGTGCATTTTATCCTTGAGTGATAAGGATGTTATCTAATATACTCAAATTATATTTTATTATCTGAATCGAATGACTGTTTTATATCAGTTGTTGCAGTTTAATATGGTTTGAAATTCCTCTGATTTTCACACATTGACCACTATCATATTTATTTTAAAAAAATAAGTTTTTAAAAATAGGTTTATTTTTTAAATTATGCATATATTTTAGTTCATAATGATCAAAAAAAATACTTTCTAAATTACTTCGCGTCTAATGATCATATTTCTCTTATACTATGATGCTAAGTGAAATTTACTTAATGTTTTAGTTTTAATTAATACTAACTACTAATTAAACTACGCAAAAAGAAACTAAATTTTCCGATCACATCTTTTAGACGAATTTGGATACTTTTGTTTCATATATTGGAGGTAGCTGGAATATGAAAAATGTAATACCTAGAGATTATTCAAAAAAGTAATCAAAAGGTAGTATTCTTTTTTTAATACTATTAATCTTCACGTTTTTACAATATAATTCGATTTGTTCTAGTGAGACCCGAATTATTAAGTTTGAGATTTTGAGACAAAGAATATTATTCCGTTATTTTCGAGTTTGATTCCCTACTTTAGCTAATAATAAGTCCTAAATATTCAACATATTTTTGCAAGTTTCATTAGCCTCAAGATTGAAAGTTACATAGTCTCTTGTACAGATTTTCTTAATCTACTCACAGTACATTTAAATTATCATTTACACTTGTAATATATTAAACAATCAATTTTTATCTTTTTTTTTACTTATATACTTTATTTCTCAGAATTTAAATAAATCGCAAATTTAAAATCTTCATGCTTTAAAAAGTAGCCGCCAAGAAAATTATTTGTCAATGATGATAAATCACTTTGAAAGAACCTTGAAAAAGCTATTACTATTTATATATTTTCCATTCGAAACTCGAGATAGTAATAAAAAACCGGTCTTCACATTTAGAATAAAAAATATCCCTGGTTTGAGATTGTATCTTTATCATTTTATTCCGATATTACTTTATATTTTAAGATAAATATTCAAATAAATATGAAAAAGTTGGGCTGACTATTTTTAACCATATTTTTCAACACTTTATGTATTTTTGGGTATTTTTAACAAATATTTCGATAATAAATGTATAAATTTTGTAAGCTGCAAACTATAAAATATATCAAATAACTTTTTCCTTAAATAGTTAATTCCAGTTAGATCTAAGAACAACCGATTAGTTTTCTATTCAACAAACCAGTTTTTTCTTTACGAAGCACTAAACAAGAATTGAGTAGCTTTTGAAAACATTTATCCATTAATTCCTTAATAGTTAAGGTAATAATAAACCTTCAGAGATCAAGTTTTGAAATATTTAGTTTTTAATTATTTTGCTTTGATTTATATATTGCGAACTGCAACAAGACACTCTTGTATTTTTAAATTTTTTTTATTTATAGGGGGTTTAGAAGAGGTCGAAATTCGTTACAAACGTCCTTTTTTAAAGTAAATAACCCAATTACGATTATTTTAATTTTATTTGCTTTAAAATGGTCGAAAATAACGAGATTAGGGAATTTCAAATCAGACAAAAAAAAAATAGTTTTTAAATATGTTACAGCTCATTTATTCGGTAAAAAAGTTCAAACTTAGAACTGAATACATTTTGTAATTTGATTGTAAAATATTAAATAATTTAATCAGTTGTTGTGTTGTTTTTTCGCTGGACATATGTGAGGGAAAAATTTGATCAAAATTACAAGTAAATGGGACAAACAGAAATTAAAATGTCACATTTGAAAGTGTAAAAATAACGAGTAAAAAAGTTTTGAGATAAAAGGCAAATTAGACGAGCCACATTATGACGACCTTTGGTTTAATTTTTTTTTTAAGTATCAAAACTTCACTATTTAAGAAAGAAATATATTTCCAAAACCATTTGAATTTTGGAAATATTTTTTTAATTTTATATAAAAGTCCGAAGCTTGAAGATTCGGCATTAAAAAAGTAGTCAGGTACTAAAAAGATAGACTTATTAATTTGTTTTAACACTTTCAAAAAAATATTTAGCCAAAAATATTCCATTTGGGGAAAAAAACAGCCCAAAAAGCATCAATGAGAATCTAAAATATAAAATTTTAAATTCAACATTTAAGCTTTTCTTAAAAAATAAAATTTTTTTTGGGTGCTCTTTCTTTTTCTATTCAACATCTTTATTGGGTACTTTAATTGTAAATGTAGAAACGATATTTCACGGGAATTAATTTTTTTTAATCCATTTATCAACAATTAACTAAGATTCTCAGTTAAAAGAATTCTAAAAATTACAGGTTGTGAATTTTATCCAAAATGTTGCGTAATTTGCGTATACTAAATTTATTGTAATTATGTTGTTTTACTAAATTATTACAGTGTTTTACACGTAATTTTTCGAATGATTTTATAATGCATAATTACAAATTATACTTCATTAAAAATGCAAATTCTAATTTTATCAAACTATTAAACTACTGAGAAAATTGATACTTAATGTACGTAAATACACGCACCCAAGTAAAAAAAGATCGACAAATATTTGCTTGAAAATGCTGCCTATAAGAAAAGTTCATATAAAAGTATTTATAGCATATAAAGTATATGAGTAATGAAACTTTATGAAGATCTTAATTATTCGCAATTTCCTCAAAAAATTACTTTATTAGATTTTAAAGATATTACACTCTTTTTGTTGTACTCAACGAATTTTTTTTTTCCTTTTTTTTTTGGTACAAAATTGTGAAACCCTGAACTTGATATCAATTTGTCACTGATTAACTCAAATATAATCTGAAAATATTTTCATATCTTTCATCTTCACATTTTTTATCGCAATATTATCATATCGGTGAAAGAACTGGCAAGAGTAAACAAATAGGTTTCTTTTATTTTTGGAATACTTATTTGTGCTCATATATATGTATTTGTACAATATTTGAAATTGTTAGGTACTAAAAAATATTAAAAAAAAATTGAAATAAAAATCTATACAAAATATTTTAAAAACAAGAAAAATAAATGTATTTTGAAAAAAGAAACGTATAATATAGGCTTCATGCAATCTTAAAAGAATTTGACAAACTTCAAAGAAAATTTCATTTGTTTTTTAAAAAGAGATTTTGACATTTACGATATTTACAGCGCTTGATTTAATAAAATTAACTATTACTGGGTATAGTTTTATATTCGTCAACATAAGTATGTGATAACAAAAACTGTTAAAAATTTGCTGCTTTATTACTATAATACCATTTTAAATTATTGAAATTCAATTAAATGTTAGTATATATTATAACAAACTATTTAATCAGCAAAAACATAAATAATTATTAAACCTTCGATTTTGTAATGTTTAATGTATATTTTCATTTGATTTTAATTATAATTTGATTTTTTTTTATTTCTGCACCGTTTTAAATTATTAAAATATCAATTTTATAAATTCTTTAAGCACAATACTTGAATATAAAATTATATCCGACCAACTACATTTAACTTTAATCAATCAACATCATGAACGTGAAAATTTCTATTTTCACTTCGGTAACTTTGACATTGACATTGACGCACCCAGCCACGTGTTTGAACTGGGAAGTAAACAAAAATCCATACCTTCGGATCTGTGTCATAGTAATGCTGTTGCGTTCGAATCCACCGGCTGACCAAATTATCCTTGACAGTGTGGGCAAGGGCGAAATAGTAATCCCTCGGAGTAGCCACATTTCTATCCTTGACCAATGTGTAATGAAGGTGACGATTGAACATTTTTTTAACGTTAAGAACATTCTCCGGCAAAGCTATTTCCTTGACGGATATCTGCCGCTGCCTTTCTTCATCGCTGCGAGGGAAGGACATGATTACACGAGTCTGGTTGATAGGGATCGGGAGAACCAAGTACTCTTGACTGTGGCGGTCGAAACTCCATAAGAGGAGCGTTATCTTCATCTTTTTTAGGGTTGTTTGTTTTATGAAGGATGCGGTCGCCAAACACAAGCGCCAAAATAAAAGCCCATAAATTAATATTATTTCTTTAAAAAGCGCAAGAAATCATTAAAGTTGTTTTTCCCCTTTGAAATAACGATGTTTAGTTTTGTCTTTTAAAACAGCATATAGGCCCGCACAAAGTTTTTAATGTGTTTCTAATGTTTTTTTTTCTACTCAAAATTATTTTTTTTCAAAAATATTTTCATTGTTTTCATGATTCATTTAATTAGCGAGCATTTTTATGAAAATTTCAAATATATTTTGATTAAAAGAATTGTTTACGGTTTTTGAGAGATATGGTATACCTGTGTAATATATATATATATATATATATACATCTTGGGCTTAGGTGAACTTGCCCTAGCTTTAAGTAATCCTGTATATATATCAAGCTCAGCTGGGGGGGGGATTAAAGTTTTTTGGGCTAGAACCTCCAAAAGCGATTCCGAACTCATCTCTATTAGATATTTCTTATTATTACTAGCAAAATGGATACTACTACTGATAACTACGTAAAACGGATTACAATTATATGTGATAACACATCTATTATTCAATTTCAATAATTCAACTTTTTCCTTATGAACGTCTTTGTAAAACAAATTTGACTTATTAACAATTCTGTAAATAATTCATAAGTAAAACGAGCATAAAATAAATATAAAAATTTATAAATAACTCCATATTACTACGTCTTACTGAAGTAAAAGTGTTTAGATAGTACCGAAATTCATACAAGAATGCATTCCATCAATTTTAAAATAAAAATACTACCACTCAAATTTTAAGTTTATTTTTCAAGTATCACTAATATGAAATTTCGATTTCAGAAATTTCTATTTTAGAAATATAATAAAATGCAGTACTATACAGTGAACGAAAGAGTTAGCATTATTTAGAATTATTTATCGATATAAAGAGTTAATAAGTGTTATTTTATCTGGGAATAAAAATACTTTTTATTTGCATGTAAAAAGTTTTTAATGCATGAAAACAGTACATGACGAATAACGAGACATGACGAATAACATAAAAAGTGAAATTTAAATTAAGGCGCCCTAACTATAGTCCTCTCCTGACTATACTAATTGGGCCATATTTTCTAGATTGCCGCTATGAGCTTTATATAAGGTAAGGATGAAAGACAGGGAATTCAGTTTAAATGAAATATGATAAAGAAGCGAGGAGATATTTTATAAAAGTATTTTAATAAAAAATAATAAACACCGACAAATATTTTAAAGCGAAGCGTTCTATTTATGTATCAGATCTGTTGCCACCTTCTTTTTACATAAAAGTTAAACTTTTCTCCGCTGTGACAAAATTAAACTTATCCTTACTATTCCTGTCCCCCCCCCCCCAAGAATTAAGTATTTTAGAATTGTTGCAAATACAAATGACAGACAATATAAACATCAAACAACAATGGTTTTACTAAAATAGAAAGAAAACGAGCATTTTTGTCATACTATCAAAGCATGAAAATAAGTTAATGCTGACACGCTCCGGTTTGCTATCAAATCTAAAACAAGACTTGACGCATGCATTATTAGGAATCATTTCACCATCACGCTTCTACCACGTTTGAAACAAGAATATTTCTTTTATTCCCAGAGCAATGTCTGATATAATTTAAAATAATAATGAGTGATAAGTTAATGTATCGACCGGAATTGATTAGTCAGAAAAGGAAAATAGAAATGACATTGAGAAGAATCAAACAGGTATTGTTTTTTTAGATTAAAAATAAAATATATTTTTAGCGTTTTATGCTTGAATTAAATTATTGATACAGAATGAGTCAGATGTATAAATGCATGCACAATGCCTAAAATAAAAAACAAAACACTTTAACAACTGTTAATCTATATTCGAAAAAGATAAAAGACATTCTTTAATTTTATAAATATCTTCTTTCTTTTTTTTCCTTCTGAATATGTGTATTCATAATTATGTTCATTAAAACTGATACTGACTGAAAATCTCAACTTGTACAAAGTCTGTCACTCCTGATTGCCATTTTTAAAATTTACAATTACATATTGATACTTTTTTTTCTTCTTTTGTGTGTATTTTTCTTTTTATCTGATTTTATTTTTACTTAATGCACATTCATTTTATATATTCACTGAAAGGCTGTAGAGATCAAAAGTGTCTCGCATACTTTATTTGTTATTGTTTCTGCTGTATTGAATAGTTTCTTTAAAAAAAAATATCCTGCCCTATGACGGAATCTTAGCGATTCGAGGAGGAATTGATCTCAAACATGTTGACAAATAAGTGAATCAAGTTGTTAAATGATGAATGCATGTGTAAAAAAAAGAAGAAAAAAAAGAAGAAAAAAAGAGCTTAACCCATTATTTCCTAATCACAAATTTTTAAGAAATATTTTATATAATATTTGTAAAAAATGCAGGGAAAACTAACTGGACAATTATCTGTTTTTTTTTCATAAAAATTTTGAAAAAAATATGCATTTTTTTTAGGATTCCAAAAAATTATTCTTGACACTGATAAAATTTGTCTCCAGCGGAAAAAAAAAAGAATAAATTGTCAACTGCAATCGCTCTATAAGACCAAGCATTATCTTTATTGCACAAATTATTTTCAAGATTAAAACTTTTTATTCTCTGTTATTCTTCTGTGCCTCCCTCTCTGTGTCATTTTATTCTGTGTCTTAGTCATCTTTCGTCAACAATCTAAGTGTTATAATGTCAGGACGAGTCCGGTTTATTGAATCGACAATCACTTCATCGACATGCCGTTTCTGCGACGCCACTTCATCGACAGATCATTTCATTGACTAGGTCATTTCGTCGACAGGTCATTTAGTCGACAGGGTCGTTTCATCGGCAGGGTCGTTTCGTTGACAGGTTAATTTAATATATGTCTATTTGTCAGTTAATTTTATCGACAAGTATATTTGTTAACAGAGCTGCTTCATCGATTGGGTCATTTCGTCGACAGGTAAATTTGATCGACCCTTTCGTCGACAGGGTTGTTTCGTCGACAGGATCACGTCGTTGACAGGGTCGTTTCATCGACTGGGTCATTTCGTCGAGAGGTTAATTTTATCGACAAGTCTATTTGTCGACAGAGCTGTTTCGTCGGTTGGGTTGTAACGTCAACAGTGACAATTCATTAACTAGTCATTTCGTCGATAGAGTTATTTCATTGTCACGCGCAATTCTGAAACTATTTTTAGGGTTTGTTAGGTTGCGCGTTACTTCATTTCTTTTTCTTCATAATTTAGTAAATTTTTTCGTGTCTAAATTTTTAAAACTTAGTCTAAAGTGAAATGAGTATCTTATGTTGCAATTGCCAGAGAAGAAGGATTTTTTTTAATAAATTGCCTACTCCTTTTGCTGTTACATCACGTTACAGAAATGAAATACTTGCTCATTTGGTATTTAAGTTGCCGTTTAAGCATATTTATATTAAAGTTTGATTGTTTTAATTTAATTTTATAACAGATTTTCATAGATTAACATGGTAAAGGCACTTGCAGTAACTACTTTGAATAATTCTTTATATAACAAGTAAAGTACGAGATAAACAAGGGAAAGTATATACTGAATTAATAAATCAACGAAACATCAATCCGATTTTGTTGGATACAGAAACGATTTGACCTGAAAATTGCATTTTTTATTCTTTTTTTAATTAGCTGACAATTAGATGCGGAGCGTATTACGAAGACCTAAATTTTAATAAAGCCATGCCCATTTATGAGCAAGGATTATCCCCAGATGATAACTAAGCATAATGAGTCCTTTTGTCAAAAGGGTTATTTTCTGTACAGAATAGTTTTGCCAATTCGTTGATTTCGTCAACTATGTCATTTTTTGGGTCGTTTCGTCGATAGGGTTGAACAAAAGAAAAAAGAAAGAAGTGAAATGGATAAAAATTTATTGAACAAAACATTAAATCAGCGTAAACAAAAAAAAAAGTGAGTCAATTTACTGATAAGTAAAAATAAAAGTTTGACGCCCGGTGGCTGAGTGGTAGCGCTTCGCGCTCCCGTGCCACAGGTCCTGGGTTCGATCCTCGGGCCGGGAAAGGTTGACTCAGCCTTTCATCCCTTTAGTGGGACGATAAATGAGTACCAAACATGCTTGGGAACTAAACACTGGGGGTTTCGCATTCGGCTGACCACCAAACCGGAACATCTGCTCTTGCACCTCGGAGCTGAAAACTGAGATGGGCACAGTAGGTCTTGGCACTCTATGGACTGAGTTTAGTTTAGTTTGGTAAAAATAAAAGTTTGCAAACTCTTTTGCTATTTGTTGCAGAGCACAAGCAGCTATTTATTTTTGTTAACATATCAGCGAAGAGTTGTTGATTTATAAATTAGAGCCAGGGTACATAATTTTATTTTATTTATAATATTATTACATTACTTTTAGAATTTCTATCTCTTGGTTTATATAACAGGTACATGAGTTGCAATTATGAAGGAAACTAAAACATCAATAAAATTCACGATCTTATATATTTTTATAAGTGAATAATGCTTCTTATTTTTTTTTTAAATATCTAATTAAATGCAATTTTTGTTATCAGCATGAAATTACTTTGGCGTAGTTAAAATATTGAAGGGTTATATTATAAAAATTAATCATAATTTTTCACAAAAACAATAAAATCTTTATTTTTGTGAGTGCATGATATGAACATAATTTCGAGTTATTGGGTTCCTTATATTCTATCTCTGTAAGCTATGCAGAAGTGAGGACAGGGATAAAAGGATATAAGTCTTGCTATTTGGAAAAGTTTGGTGTCGTTTTGATGTTTTTTTATGCTGAATCGAATGAAGAGAATAGAATTATTATTGTTTTGATATAACTAATAGTTAAGAAGTAATGATGGTTTCATGTACACTGTTAGAATTACACTGAAGTTATGGTAAGATAACCAGCAGCTGTTACTCCATCCAATTAACCGTTATGCTTACA